CTCTCCTGTCCAGTTGCAGAGGCAGTGCCAGAGCAGCTCTGGGGGGTGCCTGGCATCCAGCCTGGCTCAGCCCACCACAGATACACAGTACATTAGTCCTCAAAGCAAGAGAGAGAAGGGGCAAGAGGCAGCACATCCTTGGACACTGTCAGGGAAACTTTTCCACAAGACCTGCCCAGCCTAAGAAGGTATGATGGCTCCCTTGAGGACAAGCCTACCTTTAGGGTTTTGCCTCATTTATGCAGCACACAGCCCAGGTCCAGTTGTACTAATGTCAGAGAACTGAACTAAGTGCATCATTCTGCATTGCTGCTGCTCATCTGCTCACTGCCAGCCAGCAACTTTGCACTGATTTTCATCAAACATCACACCAGAGAAATACCAACGTCACTGCCTGAAACACGGAGCCCAACAGGATGACTGCTGGAGCTGCAGTGCTGCCTCGTGTCTGCAGGGAGCTGGTCCCCAGGCTGCAGCACACGTCCTTCGACCCCGCAGCAGCTCCTGCTCCCTGGGGCTCCCAAAGCAGAGTATCCAAGAGCTTCTGCTTCTGCAGCACAGACATTGCAAGGAGCTGTGGATACCTCCTGCAGCTTCATTAGGGGCATTTGCCTACATCAGCAGTACACAAAGGGAAGGCTGCAGTGGAGAAGAGGAAGATGGATTTTGGCAAAACCGGCACAGAGCCGGCGTTTCCAAAATAAGATTCCTAAGGCAATCTCAGACTTTGGATACTGGAGCTGGAAAGAGGAGACAGTGATACCTTCAGAGGACAGCTGACTGTCAGCACAGAGCAGTGCCCAGCCCTCTGCCACAGAAATGGCTGCATCTTTAACTGAAACACAAATCCCAGCAGAAACAGGCTGCTGTGATACAGGCACAGTATAAGCCTGAAGATACCCCTCAAAGGGCTTTTCAATGGCACATGCAGTAATTTAAGTTGCCCAAATACATATAATTTGGTATATCTAGTATACCAGTTATCTACAGTCATTCAGGTTAACTTCATACTCCTCATTTACAAGCTAAAAATATACTTAATTTATGACCAAGCATTCAGGTTTGTGACTCTGTGGTGTCAAGGTGATTTTATTGCAAAGTATGATGCAGAGAGAGATACCAAGCTCAACCCTCAACAACCTGGTGTGAACTAACCTCTCCTGACTGCCTGTTGCTGCAGACACAGGCAAAGCTTGAAGGCAGCTCATCCTGGATACCTGGCATGAGCAGGTAGAGGTCAGGTTGCTCTGTCAGCTACACTTCAGCTGCTGTGAAGGTACACTGCATAGCTGGCAAATTTGATATGACAGTGATCTTAAGAGCACCTGCAGAACGTACTGCAGAGCTGCACTCACACCTAGGTGGGCTGCTGGGAGTGAGATGGAAAAGAAATCCATGCGTACCCACTGTTTAGGGCACCATGACCCACCACACATGAGCCCAGCTGCAAGCAGAGCTGCTACAGGCTGGGAGAGTCAAGGCTGTGGGTGCTGTGAATTCAAACTCCTGGGATAAAGGGAGGCCCAGGAATGGATCTCTCGTTTCCCAAGCACATGAGCTGCTGTTATGCAAAAGGACAACTTCAATCCTATCAGTTCTGCTTGGATTCACAAAAGAGCAGAACAGATTGCAAGTGACCCACCCCGGCCAGGGGGATGATGTATTCTCAGTGTCCAAAGGTGGCTGGAAGGCCAGCCTGCATTCCCTAAAACCAGGCAGTAGTCTTTGCAGAGCAAAGTGCAAATTCTTCAGTGCTTCTCATCACCAGAGAAGTGCAAGAGAAGTTTTGAAAATGTAAAACTCCCTTCCTATCTCCATTACCCCATCTCTGTCAATGCCAGAGTCATTCAGTTATGAATCTGTTCCCTCTGCCACCAGCCAAGTTACCCTGCTGGGCTCTCCCTGCACACTGGCAATGGCAGCAGCTGCTCAGAGCAGTGCTAAGTGAAGAGAAGAGGCAGGAGCTGCAGCAGGGTCCAGTGTGGGGTTTAATGGCCTGAAGGGCACTTGGTGCTAGTGAACTCACTTGAAATCTGCCAGAGCCTGCAGCTCCAGGGGCAAGCACAGCTGTGTGCATGTGTCACTGCTTCGAGGGACTCTCCTCCCTGACTCTAGTCAAAGGTACAGGAAAAGAGCATAGCCATCCCTGTGACTCTTGCCCATTTTCAAGTAGAATATTGACACAGACCAAGGAGGGTGCAGCCCTGTGTTACCAGCCACCACCCATCTGTTTAGGAAATGCCCTGGAAGCATTTCCAGACCAGGGTCTGGTTTCACATGAGGAAACCAAGCAGCTCTTACCAAAAGAAGCTCTATCTCTACAGCTACTGTTAGAGCTACAAGCCTGCCTAAGGCACCACCCTACTCTAATCTGCTCATTTCCATCAATTTTTCATTGCTACACCAAGTTGAAAGTGCCATGTGAGGCCACTCTGAAAAGCATACCACGTCCTACTTAAGCTGTGACTATGTTTGCTCTGATCTTGGCAAGACCAAATGGTACTGTGTAGCTATTCATATGGCAATACAAGACCCAAGCAGATGCATCTAATTTCAGTAAACCTTAAACTGCTAATTTACGTATGAGGCTGAAGACAGCAGGAGCTGGGAGAGGGCAGCACTTAGGAAATAAACTGCAAGAATTTCAAATCACACATCCTACAACCAACAGGCAACTTTGAAAACCTCATCAAGAGAAAGATAAGAGTGTTGAGCACAGGACACTTACAGGTAGTGTGGTCCGGTGCCAACCAGCAGCTGCTGTAGGATCACCTGTGTAGCTCCTGCGTGTTAGCAGTTCAGATGCACTTAAGTTACTTTTGGTCCTTCGGGACCCCAGTCCAGGGGCACTCCAGGAATTAGCCGTGGCACTGGTCCTTGCTGAGGTCTGCTCCAGGGACTCTGCTCTTGCACTGTTCCCTTCCACTTCTGAGAGGTCCACTGAGAACCTACACAAGCTTGTAGTACTAGAAGCTGCACTTTTCTCCACTTTGGTTTGAGAGTCCTCCAGGGAATGTAAGCCTTGTCGTGTTCTCCAGGCACTTCTCACAGTGACATGCTTTGTTTCAGACGAAGATGCATCTGAAGAGCTATGGCTCTTCCAGTTGATTGTCTCTGAAGGTGTCTCACTGCTCCTCTCTGTGAGCTCAGAAGTCTTTAGCATAATGCTGCTTCTGGAGACCATCATTTCGGCTTTACTTCTCGGCGCTGCCTCTCCACTTCTGTCTGTCTCAGGTAATTTCAGAGCACTTTTATTAATGGATAGCTCAAAGGGTGTGGGGAGGTTGGTTGTTATTGATGGTGAAGACTCATTCGAAGCAACTCTGATGTTGCTAGTGGTAACATGCTTTTCCTTTGCTGCTATATCTGCACTGGTCCTAGGAGCTGTTGGCTCAGAAGGAAAGATTGTGATGCTGCTAGTCATTTTATTCACCATTTTGAAAGCAGACTTCTGTTTCTCTGACTCTGCCTCTGGAACATGACTGCCTCCCATGACTGCCTTCATATCCTTCTCAACAATTGCAGGTTTAATGATAGCTTTTGATCTCAGAGCTTCTCGTGGGCTGAATGACCTCCTGGATTTCAGTTCTCCAGTGCTGGCATCTGATGGTTTTATACTCTTGGTGGAGTCTTCATCATTTAAAGTGGTTTTGTCATTTTCAAAAAGTGATGCTCTAAAAACTCCCCTAGAACTGGAGAACTGCTTGGAACTGCCTTTCTTTCTTGTCTCCAAATCTGACTGACTGGTTGTTTTCTTGCTTCTTCCTGATTCTTCATCTGAATTAGGTTTTTCCTGATTACTCTGGATGGTTTTGGAGTCTGTTTTTAAACCCGCATTTAGATGATCTGCTCCTGAATTTGAAGACTGCTTTGTGTCTTCTTTTTCAAGACCTGTGAGAACCTGCGGGACATCCTCCTGACTCCTGGAGTGATGGGAATGCTTTGTCAGCATTGAAGGCTTTGCACTTTCCAGTGATGTGTCTGTGTATTCTTTTTCCTGGGAGATTATTGTTCTTTTAGGCCTCCCCTCCAAGGGCTGCCTGTGTGATGCAGCAAAAATGCTCACTGCTTCTCCTTTCGAAGCAGCAGAGTCTGAGGCTGACACATGGGAGGACAGGTGGTACCTGTATGCCGAGGCTGTGCCATTGGAAGATGTGTGGTTACCCCTCGTGAGCTGTGAGTCCCCCGAGCAGTCACTGACTTCAGCCTGACTTGTCTTCGGCTTCTCGGCCGAAGAAGCCACAGATTCACCTTTGCTTGACTTATCATCCCGTACCACAGCACCAGTTTGGCAGTTGCCATGGAGCACCTGAGATGGCTTTTCAGCCTTGGATCTCAGGCCTGTGTCACCAACAGGTTTGGAAGGTGCTTTCCAAGACTTCTGCTCCTGTGCAGCAGGAGGATATCGGCTGAGGACAGAAGGTTGCTCTTTGGATCTCTTCCCCTCACTCTGCCCCACGCAGCCTTCCTTCTGACCAGAAGAAAAAGTGGAAACCAAAGACTTCTCGTCCACTCTTTTCACATCACTCTCTGAAAGGGCAGATGCACCAGATGCTTTTCCTGTTTTTCTATTCATTAAGCTTGGACTGGGCACCTGCTTACCACTGTGGCTGTAGCTGTCATTGCTGACAGAG